ATCATCTGTGGAAGGGAACTTAAGCATACAACCGTATCCTTGCCATAATACATCCTGGGTATGTCCCTCGGGTCAGCCTGTCCTATAACTTTTATGTACTTATTGGTACCATCTATATAGTGGAATAGCTATGAAAAAAAGGTGCGCACGGTGCTCAACGTATTAATCATTGAACTTTAGCTCGAATCTTAGAAGGAAGCCATCTACATCCTCTGTCTTGATTCAATTTCGCTCTATTGCTAGTTGCGGCTAAATTCACATACATACAGACATTTAACAATGTGGAGAGACCCACGTCGAAGAAATAACGTGAATCTACACTATTCTGCTATAGGAAAATGTTCTAAGAGGTTCTGGTTAAAGCTGTGCTGGGAATCCGCTGAGTGACGACAAATATGGATGGCGAGGATGTAGCAAATGATCTAAAAATTTTGAATCGAGGACCAACGAGCAACCCATAATCATTAAGAACCAACTTTATCGGAATGACGTTGGTAACCCGTTCCATGGTGCTTCTCCATAGGCGCTGACGCAATTTTGAAGAGGTGATAAGAAGAGCCCACGGCGGACAAGAGTACATCAGGTCCACAACGGGATAACTGAAATATGCTTTGGTAAGCTGTTATGGTGTCATACCGTATAGCTAAGATTAAGTCATGTTTTAGAATAACCAGTACAATAGTACAATATAACTGCAGTTTCTGGTCTGTTAGAGTAATGCACAACTATTTGCGCACTATAAGGCACTACATTCATGGGATTTCACTGGCTTACAGTAATCTAATTTTTGCGAAAGCAACAGGAAACCTTTCTGTTGATATTTTCAGGATAATGAAATACTAATTTGTTCTATTACCATGTAAATATGAGCCTACATTGACTATGATCAGATTGCATAAGCAAATGCTAATTTGCTTTCTTTTATTCGTGTGACGTGTTGTAAGAATATGAAAATGCTTAACTGCCACAAGTATGGTCTCCCTCTTTTAAAGGCATTGTCCAGACAAAATTTGTTTTCCCTACTAAGCTTCAATAAGCCATTTTGATGTGACGAATGAGAACACAGGATTTGTGTCCATTCTTTTAAAAAAATCTAAAGATTTTTGGATCCTTTCTGGATCGACAAGACGAGTTTCAGCGCCACGATTTTTGCGTATCTTGAGACGATTATCTGAATCTCCCGCTGCTTAGAAGCGTTGACAAGAGAGGCCAAAGACGGCCCCTCTACAGAAATCATTCTATGAGTTAAGCAAGGAAGAGAAGTC